TCCCCCAAAAGCCCAGTATCATCAGCAAAAAGTAACTGTGTTTGATTCCCCATAATTTAATCCGACCCCTCTTCCTAACAATAATTTAATCCCACCTCTCTCCACAACCCCATCTATAAATATGTTAAACAACCATGGTGGCATTACACATCCCTGTCTAAGACCTGCTTTTACTGGGAAGTAGTCTCCCTCTCTCCTACACACCCTAACCTGAGCTTCACTATCCTCATAAAAATTCTTTACAGCATTTAGTAACTTACTACCTATCTGACCTCTGCAATTCTTTGACCATGCTTCCCGGCTTCTCCCTCTAAGGTGCGGCGATTTTCGGATCGCCCGCCCGTCCCACGTCGGACAGACTCCGGTCCCACACCTAAACGCCCAAGACCACTCCGTCCTATGCCTTTTCTAAATCCATAAATGCAATAAAAATTGCCTACCTTTACTGTTCACATATATGCTTCATTATAAACACCTAATCTACACATCCCCTACCCATTCTACAGCCTTCTTGTTCATCTGCAATCCTTCTCTCTGTCTTACCTCTAATTCTTTCAATAACAACCCTACTTACACTTTACCGGGTATACTCCTTAAACTTATTCCCTATAATTTTTACAATTTCTATTGTCCCCTTCTCTTTACATAAAGGAATTATACATCTCTGCCAGTCCCTCTTTCATATATTTATTAAACAAAAATACCAACCACCCAAACACTGTATCTCCCCCCCCCCCCACTGCTTTTAACATTTCTGTCATGATCCGGTCAGTTCCAGCTGCTTTACCCCGTTTCACTCTATCTACGTAATGCCTCACGCCCCCCCCCCACACCCGAAGTATCTTCAATAATAATAATACTTAGATCAGTGATCCCGATATATTTTTCCAACCTAGTCACAGTTTACAAAACTTCCAGTCACGTGAAAAGTGCTGGTGAGTGACTGGGAGGTGCTGGACCCACAGGGGTCATGTTATGCCTGGGGGAAATGCGAGTGGTAGACACGGCGTATTACTAAATTTGTTAGTTTTACTCTTGAACCTCATTCACCTCAATGTTTAATAACTCAGTTTGAGACTGTCATGAACTCAACCAGGACCACAGTTCTATCTTCTCGTCCATCTTTTTGTTTATTCGTGAGACTGCCAGTTCTGATTCTGAAGTTGAAACTAATGCAGTCGAGTCTAGTTCAGCCTCACCAGCGGCAAACTTTGGTTGTGATTGATATTATTGGCAACTCGAGTGAAATTCAGCAGTCACTCGTTGAGAAGTCACTAACATATACAACAGATGCGAGATAACATTATCAGTTTATGGTCTGGGATTTTTGTTGGTGGCAGTTATCTGAAACAAAATCTTTAGCACAGAAATTTGCAGATATGCTCGCAGATGCACAATCGCTATGAGAGACACAATCGAAATGGAGACGTTCTGCAGCTCTCCTGGTTGCGCTTTTTGCTTGCGACAGGAAAGCTATGCAACTATGCATGCAAACCTGTGAATACAACACGCACTTCACGCATTCTGGGTCTTGTGACTGGAATCATGCTGGTCAGAGACTGATAAATTATGAATGTTCTTTTGCTCGATGTGCCAGTGTAAGATTATTACACTGGCACATCGAGCAAAAGAAAAGAAGAAACGTGAAGTTGAAGGTGTGCGAGCAGACAACACTGACTCTGATGCACAGTATTACTGATGGCATACAATACCTTAGGACTTAGGTATTTTTATAATTAATTATAATTATAATAATGGGGAGCGCTAAACCCGTAGGATTATACAGCGCATGTGGGGGGATGGAAGGTATTCAGGTTCAATTCAGGGAACCGGAGCACAGATCCAATTCCCTAGATCAAGAGCCCCTCACCAACGTCAAGGAACCTCCCTTGAGGGGTTAGGTATTTTTATTGTCGAAACGTTATCTACGTAGCAGGCGTCTTCAGTCGAATACAGGCAAATATAACACTGTATTAATGTTGGCAGAATTGTCGACAGTCTGTTAGGTAACAGTACACAAGCACAACTAATGTGATATTTTACTGGGGCAACGTTTCGTTCTCCAGGATCTTTGTAAAGCTTGACAATAAAATGTCATATTAGTTGCACTTGTGTTCATTTACCCAACAAATATAACACCGGAGACAGAAGAAAGTGGGGTGATCAGCCCCTCAGTATGATGCAGGTGAGGGCTCTTGATCCAAGGAACTGAACTTATCCTCCACTTCCTTGGATCGAACTTGAATGCTTTCCATCCCCAAGCAGCATATGACCCTTACGGGTTCATTGCATTCCCATGATTAAAATAAAAGTATGACGAGTTACCGAGTTTGTGTAACCCGTTTTTTTTATACGTGTAGGATTGTTTCATGAAGTGTTAAACCAGTCTGGGTCATCGTGGGCAAAGGCTTTGTTAATCACGAGAAGGTTCTTCAGAACAATGAACCTGCCCATGTCCTGGTTCTCCTGCAGAGCCGCCACCCGCTTCAGATATTTTCTGAACGCACTGAAAACCTGCTCATAAATATCCTCTAGGATATTTTTCTTTGGTCGGGTACTCTCCTGAGGCGAGATTTCCGCGACGGTCAGTTTGTTGTCGTCCTCAGAGAAGGAAAAGCCGTCCTTGTCTTTCCTAACGGAGGGGTACCGTTCCTTATCCTCAGAGGACAGAAGGTCCTTGTCCTTCCCGGTGGTGGAAAGGGAATCTCGCTCATCCTCCAAGGAGAGGACGTCTTTACTCTTCAGTATGGAGGAGAGGAGAAATGTTTCATCATCGACAGAACAGTAATGGCTCTTGTGATATAGAATCACAATCGTCTGAAAGTAGTAAGTTTAGAGGAGAATATGGTCTTTTTCGTCCAGTATGGTATAGCTGATAGAGTCAGCTTGCCACACCTCCTGCAGGCGGGTGATGGCGTAATGCGCGACTGTGGCGCAGTGCTCCTTCACCGAATTCTCCAAGTCCTCCTCCTCACAGAGGATGGTGAAAACAGTTTGTAGACAACTCAGAGCGATGCAATCACCAACGGTGTGCATCTTGGCCAACAAAGGTTGCATATGGGATGACGGAATGTTCCTCTCTTCGAAAAGGTCGTTATGTACATCCAGAAAAGTTACTTCCGCTTTTAAGTATTTTTTAAATAGGTATGGAAGTTCCTCCGGGAATCTCATGTTCTTAGCTAGATTTTTACAGTAAATTGCAATAATTTCCTGAGGGAAAAATGAATCCAAATGTTCCTGAAGATAGTGTGAGAAGATCAGAGGATGTTGCGAACTAGTTGGGACCTACCTGACGCTGTTGATGTAGAACTCTACGGCCCGCTTCACCACAACCTTGGCGTGCGCTTGAGCATCACAGCTGTTGTCCAGGAGGATCTTGGCACACCTTTCTAGAATGTAAAAACAGGTATCCTGGTCTCCAATGTCTTCTTTCACAATGATGAAGATGTCCCTCAGCCATTCAACTATTTTCACCGGGAGGTCTACATGGGTGCATTCCTGCAGGTTGATGAGGTAGCGCCTAGTAGTCAATAACGCGATATACTGATCAACCATTTCTACATATTGTTTACCAACTGGGCCTCCATCAGCAGGAGGAGGGCCACCGAACACCTTCTGAATATTCTTCATCCTGATGGACAGGCGCACCCGGGGATTATCCGTGTCCACGTCCAACGTGTCAAGAATCCTCTCTGTGACGTAAATGAAGACGCAGCAGTTGTTGGCCTTGGCCGCGAAGAGCTGTAAGGCCATGCAGCTGAGGACCATGGTTGAGCGCTCAACGCGTCTCTGGTATTCGTCCATGAATTTTTTGACAGGTACCAGAGAAGTCATGATCAGGAGATGTCCTTGTAGCAACCCGGACTCTTGCATTGACTTTATTTTAGTCTCGTGAGCGTACACCGCCTAGAGAAATGCTTGCAGCATCCTAACTTGCTACCTTGGCTCGGAGGCTTCTTGCAGTTGACGGAGGAAGTAGTCGCCGACGGTGTGAAGATACTGGGAGTGGAGAGACTGGTACTGTTGAGTCTCGCTCACCGTACTCTCTTCCGAGTTCATGTCTATCCTATGAAAGCACGTAAAAATTATTTTAAAATATTTTAATGAATTAGTGCAGCATCTCAGATTGTTTTTTGCCAGTCTTCGTATTTCTTCCACTGGATCTAGCAAACTGATCTCAAGCCCCTTGTAACTAGTTACTAGTGTAACGATCAAATAATAAGTAACAGTTTGTTAACCTCTTTCTTAGAAATTAATGATATGGAAACTCTGGCTTGGTTTTTATTTTTTCTTAATGACATTCAGATTACATTAGATTTCTAATAAATGTATTAACGCTTTGCAGTAGTTATAAAAACTTACGTTATAAAAATATTTTCCTCTGTAATTGTCCCTTAAACGTTGGCTCGTGTTATCATTATCACTTTATCTGCTTATTTTTGCATAAAATATACATATGATCATTATTTGCCTATTACTACACTTAGTATTATGGCTATTTATGTGATCATTCTAATCTACCCCTATACTATATGGACTAAGTATAAACGACAGGCAGGTACTAACCTAATCTCAACTCTCTAGACAGAGTTGAGGTATACATACGTAGCCAGTCTTTCTCAGCAGATAGCTTTGATATGGTCCATGAAGTCTCCGTCTACCTGCGTGGCCCATGTTAAACTCAGAATTATAAGTATTTGTTAACACGTTTCTGCCCGTTAGTCTCTTTTATTATTATTATTATTACTGTTATCATTATTAATTTGATATAAAGCGTTAAATCTAAGTGTGATTTAGTACATTATTATTATAATCAAGGGAAGCGCTAAACCCGTAGGATTATACAGCGCCTGGAGGGAATGTGGAAGGCATTCAGGCTTAATTCGGGGAACTGGAGCACAGATCCAATTCCCTAAATCAAGAGCCCCTCACCAACATCAAGGAACCTTCCCTGAGGGGTGTGATTTTGTACAGAAAAACTAAAGAGTGTTGTTTTGCAGGTGCAGCGCCTAGTGTAAGCAGACTACAAGACGACTCAGTGGTGGAGAACTACAACCTGACGCTGGAGTGCAGCGTCCAGGGCACCCCTCTCCCACAGGTGCTCTGGTACAAGAACGACACCCTGATCACCTCCTCCTCCAGGAATATCAGAGTCAGGACTAGACCAAGAAATCTACGCAGACGCAAGTAGGTTGTCATCAGTGATGTTGTGGGTGTTGACAAAGGAACACACACCGTGTTGCTGTGGGTGGTGATGCAGGAACACACACCGTGTTGTTGTGGGTGTTGAGACAGGAACATACATTGTGTTGTTGTGGGTATTAACATAGGAATACACATCGTAAACCATACCCCCGGCCGGGATTGAACCCGCGGTCATAGAGTCTCAAAACTCCAGCCCGTCGCGGGCTGGAGTTTTGAGACTCTATGACCGCGGGTTCAATCCCGGCCGGGGGTATGGTTTATTTGCAATCGTGTCATTACGATTTCTTGAGTCAATACACATCGTGTTGTTATGGGTGTTAAGGAAGGAACACACATTGTGTTGTTGTTGGTGTTGAGGCAGGAACACACACCGTGTTGTTGTGGATGTTAGCACAGGAACACACACAGTGTTGTTGAGGGTGATGAGGCAGGAACACACACCTTCACACTGGTAGACAGGGAATTCTCGGTCTGAAGCAGATATCCTAGTTAATGGCATTGTATCATTACTGAGAAAAGAAACTCTTGCAGTACAAAATGACCTACCACTTCCTGTGCCGATATTCAATTTTCTCACCGAAATATTTTTTGCTACCAGTGTGATTTCTTTCAGTGATAAATTATTTTTCCAGACAAAAAAAAATATAGTATAGATAGACCATCTTAGATCAATCTTCATCCTTACTATAGAATACTTTGAAAGTATTATTGTTAATATGCTTATTATTATTATTATTATTATTATTATTATTAATTATTATTATTATTATTATTATATTATTATTATTATTTATTATTATTATTATATTATTATTATTATTATATCATCATCATCATCATCATCATCATCATCGTCATCATATCATTATATTAAGAAACTCGCAAGTCATAGAGCTAATTTGAACGCAAAATATTCCCAATAATCAAGCCTTCGAAGATCAACATAGCAGAGATATGTGGACAAGGTCATACCCTGTCTTGCTGGAGAACTCGAATCGATTAACATCTTCTTTTTTTTAATTAAATTTAAAGCTGAGTGGTCAGAAGATGGCAGGTTATTCTTCTGGTGACAAGCCTGACGAGAACTGGAACTGAGCTCTACGAGCCTATTAGATCACCCGGTTTCACCAAATATCAACTTCACAAAAACTGTCAATGCCATTTTATTTGTAAAGCAACATTTATTCGTATGATTCTACACTACTGTCGATACCAAGTTGAAATTAACACTTAAGTGTCGTATTATTTGTACTGACAGAATTGTTGGATCATGTAAACAAGTGTTACCTAGCATCCGGGAGTAGCATCGACACTCATGTAAGAAGTTGTTAGAGGCGACGCAGTGGGATCGTGAAGAAAAGACATGTTGCAGACAAGGCTTTAACTGTGACAACGTTTCTCTCTGTTTACCTCTAAACGGAGCTAAATGTTCGCTTTGCAACCTGTCGACTTTCACCTTCGCTTATTAAAATGATATAAAATACCGACAGGTTGTTAGGTAAGACACATATGCAACAGTTAGGTATCTTTCAGACTAAGGAACAGTACTCTTCTCCAGACTGAGGGACTGACCACCTCAAAACTTTAAGGGTGATGAACTGATTACATCATCTCACGTTTCTTCTGCTTCTATCAACTTTTCTGTACTCGACTGAAGAAGCCTACTCTGTAGGCGAAACGTTTCGAAATAAAGATACTTAAATGTTGCATATGTGTCTTACCTAACAACCTGTCGGTATTTTATACCATTTTAATGTTCACTCTGTCAGACACTGCAACACAATGGTATCTTGGTACAGAACAGAAAACAACTCGGACAACTTCTACTAGTGAGAATGGCTGGATTTGAGAGGGACGTGACCTCCCAAGGCCTACATTCTTATCTCCACTGAATAACATGCGTGTGTTTACCACACGCATGTTATTCAATGATTACTAACGTCAAAAAGTACATTAAAAAAAAAAGGTTATCAGTAGATCAAGTGTTTACTGTGAAGCACAAAATTACTTGAGGAAAAAGAGCTGTTTAACGCATTAGTGGATTTGGAAAAAGAATATTGCAGTGTGGATCTGGAAGCGATTAGAAAGGTTTCGCTAAAACAAAAATGTAGCAGTGGTAATTAGCTTTCGAAAGCTGTAAGAGTTTTTCTTTTTATGAGAAGAATGAGGCTCGGGATGTACAATGGTAATTAGTTTTTCTTCCGCATCTTAGACAGGGATGTGTGACGTCTTTATGGATGATTAATGTGGAGGACAAGAGCAGTTATGATATTTAGAGATAACGAATCTTATATAAAGGTGATGAATCTGATATAAAAAGGGTGACGAAACTAATATAAAGGTGACGAATCCGAATTAAAGAGGGTGACAAATCTGACATAAAGAATGTGACAAATCAGATTAACGAATCTGACTTAAATAGAGTGACGAATCTGAGATAAATGTGTGTTACTACACTTGTTATTAGAGAATAACGTGATGGTTTCGAGAGATTCACAAGTGAGTCTGCAGAAGATGTTGAGACTGGACGCAGACTTGAGCAAAAGAGAAGTTGGATCTACCAGTTGCTACGCTAATAACTCGACCTATACCAGAGACTAACTTGGGGGATACATATTTTCACAATTTGCTAAGTCATAAAAACTCCGATCACAATAACAGGTGTCTACAGGTCGCCACCATTAACCAGCATAGCCAATTCACTCAGTCAGGAGACCCGGAAGCAGCTGAGTGCTTCAACAATATGCCCTTAAAAATTATTTATTACTTTTAGTAACCTGTTGCTCATTCCATATCTTTGCAACGTCTGTCACATTGCACTCGGTATCTTTTCTCAATTCATAAATGCAACAAAAAAAGTTCCTTTCCTGTATCTAATTTATTATTATTATTATCATGGGGGAGCGCTAAACCCATAGGGATTATACAGCGTCTGTCGGGGGGTGGGGAAAGAAAGGCATTCAGGCTCAGTTCAGGAAATTCTAACACGGATACAATTCCTTAGATCAAGAGCCCTCACCAGCATCAAGGAACCTCCCTGTAAACGGTCTGCACATCCACTGCTCTTTCTATAATACGCTTTACCCAGTATATTTAACAGGCATATTCCCCTATAAAAGTTAACAGTAAGAATTACTATTATTACTACAACAAAGAATAATAATAATAATAATAATAATAATAATAATAATAATAATAATAATAATAATAATAATAATAATAATAATAATAATAATAATAATAATAATCCCCCAGAGTGAAGCGACCACGAAGCAGTACTCTGAGGAGGAGAAGGAACAGCAGCGCCGTCTCCAGGAGTTCCCCGTGGGTCGTGGGTCGCCCCGTGGGTGGCCCCCGCCGACGACAGATAAGAAGACGACTGGGAGAACCAGAGGCTCCGGGAAGAGGGAGCCACTCGGTGGCGACGGCGGCGGCGGAGGAGGTAGCGGGGAGGAGAGGGAAGCTGCTGGCGCGGAGGGCGAGGCGGCAGGGACCAGCATCAAGAGAACCTCGACGACGACCATCCCCAGAGATCGAGCCACGACACCCGGGACGCAGACGACGCCCCAACGACTCCAGGTGAGGGCTAAGGGGAGCCTCATCAGGCGAGGCGTGAGATGCAATATTTCCAAGAGGAAATCAATGAGGAGATGAGAAAGTGGAACCATGGGAGGGAAAAGGTGTGGCACTGCTAACTAAAATATCAGTGGGGTTTTGACAACACAAGAGGCATCAAACATAAAAATAATCAAATCAATAAATAGCAGGAGCAGTCATAAATGGCGAACCAAAATAGTAGTTGCAACCCACCACAAAGTAGTACCAGTGATTTATCTACGCAACACCAGGTAGTAGTAGTAGCAGTAGTAGTAATGACTAATAACCAATCACAAAGTAGTAGCGGTGATTTATAACCCACCACTAAACAGTAGCAGTGACTTACATCACACCACCAAGTAGTATTAGTAATAGTGACTTACATCACACCACCAAGTAGTAGTAGTAGTAATAGTGACTTACATCACACCACCAAGTAGTAGTAGTAGTAATAGTGACTTACATCACACCACCAAGTAGTAGTAGTAGTAATAGTGACTTACATCACACCACCAAGTAGTACTATTAGTGAAATAGTGACTTTCAAACATCACATACCACCACAAGTAGTAGTAGTATAGTAGTAATAGTGACTTACATCACACCACCAAGTAGTAGAAGTAGTAGTAGTAGTGACTTACATCCCAACACCAAGTAGTAAAATAGAAGTACGAACAAGACAGTGATTAATATCATAGGAGAAGTAACAGACAGCGCCCACACGACTACAGTTAAGTTACTAATGATGAATAATTTCATCCACAATACAACGGACTGGAGGAACTGGGACCTTCCTGGGGGACCTGACACGTGGAAACCCAACGTGATTGTGGTAGAGATGGAAAGCTTTCTCTCAGCATGTCCGAGGCACAAGACAGATAGATAGATAGATAGATAAAGAATAGATAGAGAGATGAGAGAGAGAGAGAGAGAGAGAGAGAGAGAGAGAGACAGGACAGAGACAGGGACAGGACAGACAGACAGAGAAGCAGAAGAACAGAGACAGGACAGGAGAGACGAGACGAGAAGAGAGAGAGAGAGAGAGAGAGAGAGAGAGAGGAGAGAGAGAGAGAGAGAGAGGAGAGAGAGAGGAGAGAGAGAGAGAGAGAGAGAGAGAGAGAGAGAGAGAGAGAGAGAGAGAGAGAGAGAGACAGACAGACAGACAGACAGACAGACAGACAGACAGACAGACAGACATGACGATAGAGAGAGAGAGAGAGACAGACAGGACAGACAGACAGACAGATAGATAGATAAGAAGAAGAGAGAGAGAGAGGAGAGAGAGAGAGGAAGGGAGAGAGAGGAGAGAAGGAGAGAGAGAGAGAGAGAAGAGAGATGAGAGAGAGAGAGAGAGAGAGAGAGAGAGAGAGAGAGAGAGAGAGAGAGAGAGAGAGAGAGAGAATGTGGGGGGTGGGATGAATCAGCTTGATCTAGTATGGTCCTGCTTAATGAACCTGCCGAAATTCAGAGAAAATAACGATATTCGAGCGAAAGAGACAAAGGGAAGTTGATTCTCTTTTCATGGAGTGTTGAGAGACAAAACCAGGCAAAAGTGCAAGGAAAACTGTTCGACTGCTTTAAAGACAACCTAATTAAAAGAGAACATCAAGATGGTGAAGAATTACAAGTGGGTACCCTCAAGCAATTGTACTACCTTCCTACTTTTCTTACTATGCATAAAACATCTGCCAGAAACTACTAGATTTTATGTATCGCTGTTTGTAATGACGTGGAACTAGTGAGAACCTGAAGGAAAGCCATTTTTTGAAAGACAAGTAATGAGACGGACGTGGTACTACAAACATAGGCACAAATTAAAGGTTTGTAGTACCTGGCAAGGAAGAAATCACTAGAATAAATGCAAAGGCAAACATCGGCTTTGAGTACCTGTATATTCCATCCATCAGTGTTTACAGTATGTACAAAATGCAGTAGAGCAGCAATGTTGGCAGATACAGAAATCAGAACAGTAATGAGTCAATGAGCAAAGCAGGTTTACTCATTGTCACTGGCTTATAACTCAAGCTAGTGAGAGAATGACTAACCAGGGGTGTAAGTATGACATCAATTTGGCTGGAGTCAACTTCTCACCCAACTGATTGACGTATAATACTGGCAGCCAGTTAGCACGGCTGGGGATCCTAACAACCGCACCACCAACTGTCAATTTGTCTGGCACAGAAAGATTGCAAAGAAGTGGGTATGTGATGATGGCCCAATAAATTGTAACATACTCGGCTTACACCACACGTGGGAGTATCACACATATTATCACCAGAAGTACAAATATACCACATGAGAGCAGCATACTGGAGTCTGGGTCATCTTGAGTAACATCAGTCAAGAAACCTTTAAGCATTGCATGTCACTTAAGTCATGTCTGTTGTGTGTAATGTTCGCAACACCATCATGCAGTCCATAGCAGAGGAATTCGTCTTCAGAACTTAAGGAATTTTAGGTGTGCAAAACGGAGTCATCACAGAACTGAGAGGGTCGAGCTATGAGGGGAGGGAACCACGGAACGGGTGGGGTATGAACCCATGGCGAGTGAGTCCTAAAACTCCAGGACTAACTCGCCATGGGTTCTAACCCCACTCGTTCCGTGGTTTGTTTGCAATCGTGTTATTATGATTTTGTAAGTTATGAAAACCAAATAACACAGAAGAGAGAAGGGCCAGAAGAGACACAATGATGATGCACAGGATTCCCAAAAAGTAAGATGATACGGACATGTAGACGGTAATGAGAGGCACACGAGAGAGAAGATATAGTTAGATGCTGAAAAAACAGATGAACCCCTGTTAGGGGCTCATCTGTTTGTTAAGAAAGCGTTTTCAGTTTTAGGTTGGTAAACAAATAGGACGAGGTATATAAGGAGGAGGAGGTGGAGAGAATCCTTCATACGCATTTTGAAGGACTGGTATGTCAGGATCCCTGGAGGCCAGGAACCAGTAAATGCTGGCTGCTTTGATGAGTACAACTCTAGACGTACTCTCTCTCTCTCTCTCTCTCTCTCTCTCTCTCTCTCTCTCTCTCTCTCTCTCTCTCTCTCTCTCTCTCTCTCTCTCTCTCTCTCTCTCTCTCTCTCTCTCACTCTCTCACTCTCAAAAAGGATTTGTTTTGGTTGGCTCCAGATGTATGTCTGTGCCTGCGATGCCAGGCAGTTTCCATAGCCTACCACATCGTCCCTCGCTCATGCCTGGTCGTCCATTCTTGATACTCGCTACGTTATACTCATCCAGATTGCCCCAAAGACTTTCGGCATTCCTAATTTCCAATTGCCACACAATTTGTGTTGATGGAAGCGATAAGCTTTCCCTCTGGAAGGCGCTGCTTCTGGCGCCAAGGTGGGTGGCGGGCGCACGATGATCCCCCGTGGCGCCAGGGGGGCGGTCAGTGGGGTCTGGCTAGGCGCCAGGGGGGCGGTCAGCGGGTCTGGCGTCTAGCCAGACCCGCTGTTGGGGACCTGTCACCCTCTGCCGCCCAAACTGGAAAAATGGAATACACAAACTTTTCGAGTTGGTAGACTGGGAGAGTATGTTGTAACTTGTTTAATGTTGAGATAGTGGACTGGTAGTAGTAGAGTGGCAGTAGTAGTAGTAGCAATGTGGTGGTGTGGTAGTAGTATAGTGTGGTAGTAGTATTAGTGTGGTGGTGGTAGTAGTAGTAGCAATGTGGTGTGTGGTAGTAGTATAGTGTGGTAGTAGTATTAGTGTGTGGTGGTAGTATAGTAGTAGCAATGTGGTGGTGTGGTAGTAGTATAGTGTGGTAGTAGTATTAGTGTGGTGGTGGTAGTAGTAGTAGCAATGTGGTGGTGTGGTAGTAGTATAGTGTGGTAGTAGTATTAGTGTGGTGGTAGTAGTAGTAGTAGCAATGTGGTAGTGTGGTAGTAGTATAGTGTGGTAGTAGTATTAGTGTGGTGGTGGGTAGTAGTAGCATGTGGTAGTGTGGTAGTAGTGTTAGTGTGGTAGTAGTATTAGTGTGGTGGTGTAGTAGTAGAATGTGGTAGTGTGGTGTGTATAGTGTGGTAGTAGTATAGTGTGGTGGTGTAGTAGTAGTGTAGTGTGGAGTAGAGGTAGTGGTAGGCAGTGGTGTGTGGTAAAGTGGTGGATGTTGTAGTGGTGGTAGTAGTGGTAGTGTGGTAGTAGTAGTGTGGTAGTAGTAGTAGTGTGGTAGTAGTGGTAAATGGTAGTAGTAAATATAACACATATGCAGTATAATGTGATCCTTTATTGACAACGTTTCGCCCACACAGTGGGCTTTTTCAAGTCACAATCAGATCTGTTTGTGACTTGAAAAAGCCCACTGTGTGGGCGAAACGTTGTCAATAAAGGATCACATTATACTGCATATGTGTTTATATTTCAATGTTTCGGTATTTTATACCATTTATTTCCATAGTAGTAGTAGTATGGTAGTAGTGGTAGTGTGGTAGTAGTAGTAGTAGTAGTAGTAGTAGTAGTAGTAGTAGTAGTAGTAGTAGTAGTAGTTAGTAGTAGTAGTGTAATAGTAGTAGTAGCAGTTTAGTAGTAGTAGTGGTGAGGTGTGTGGTGGTAGTAGTAGTGTGGTAATAGTAGTAGTGGTGGTGGTAGTGTGGTGGTGGTAGTGTGGTGGTGGTAGTAGTAGTGTGGTAGTAGTAGTAGTAGTGGTGGTGGTGGTGTGGTAGTAGTAGTAGTAGTGGTGGTAATGTAGTAGTAAGATTGGTAGTGCAGTAGTAGTAGTAGTGGTGGTAGTGTAGTAGTAGTAGTGGCCCGTGGCCTAGTGGCAAAAGCTCTCGCTTCACACAGCGATGTCCGGGTTCGATTCTTGGCGAGGGAGAAAACATTGGGCATGTTTCCTTACACAGGTTGTCTATGTTCCTCCATCAGTAAAATGGGTACCTGATTGTTAATCGACTGGTGTGGGTCGCATCCTGGGACAAAACTGACCCAATTTGCCCGAAATGCTCTGCATAACAAGAGGCTTTCTATATAGTAGTATGTCATTGTTGTCAGTTAGGACTGTATACCTTGTACATGTACTTGTAGTAAATAAAGATATTATTATTATTATTATTATTATTATTATTATTATTATTATTATTATTATTATTATTATTATTATTATTATTATAGTAATAGTGTGGTAGTAGTAGTAGTAGTGGTAGTGTGGAAGTAGTAGTAGTAGTAGTGGTGGTAGTAATAGTAGTAGCGGTGGTAGTGTGGTAGTAGTAGTAGTGGTGGTGGTAGCGTGGTAGTAGTAGTAGTAGTTTGTAGTAGTAGTTAGTAATAGTAGTAGTAGTAGTAGTAGTGGTAGTGTGGTAGTAATAGAAGAGAGGTAGTAGTAGTGGTGGTGGTAGTGCAATAGTAGTATTAGTAGTAGTAGTAGTAGTGGTGGTAGTGTGGTGGTAGTAGTAGTAGTAGTAGTATTAGTAGTAGTAGTAGTGGTGGTGGTAGTGTAGTAGTAGCAGTGTGGCAGTAGTAGTAGTGGTAGTGTGTGGTAGTAGTAGTAGGGGTGGTAGTAGTAGTAGTAGTAGTGGTAGTAGTAGTAGTAGTAGTGTAGTGGTAGTGTGGTAGTAGTAGTAGTAGTAGTAGTAGTGATGATAGAAGTAGTAGCGTGGTGGTAGTAGTAGTAGTAGTAGTGGTAGTAGTAGTAGTGGTAGTAGTAGTGTGTAGTAGTAGTAGTAGTAGTGGTGGTGGTAGTAGTACTAGTAGTGTGGTAGTAGTGTAGTAGTGGTGGTAGTTGTAGTAGTGTAGTAGTAGTAGTAGTAAGTAGTAGTAGTGGCAGTAGTAGTGGTGGTGGTGGTAGTAGTAGTAGTTAGTAGTTGTGTAGTAGTAGTGGTAGTGTAGTAGTAGTGTGGTAGTAGTTAGTGTGGTAGTAGTAGTAGTAGTGTGGTAGTAGTAGTAGTAGTGTGGTAGTAGTAGTAGTGTAGTTGTAGTAGTGGTGGTGGTAATAGTAGTTATAGTTGTGGTAGTAGTAGTGTAGTGTAGTAGTGGTGTGTTGTGTAGTAGTAGTGGTAGTGTAGTAGTGTGTACTTGTAGTAGTAGTAGTGTGGTAGTAGTAGTTGTGATAGTAGTAGTGGTGTGGTAGTAGTAGCAGTAGTAGTGGTAGTAGTAGTAGTTGTGATAGTAGTAGTAGTGTAGTAGCGGTGTGGTAGTAGTAGTAGTAGTAGTAGTAGTAGTAGTAGTAGTGTATTAGTAGTAGTGGTAATAGTATAGTAGTAGTAGTTGTGATAGTAGTAGTGGTAGTAGTGTAGTAGTAGTGTGGTAGTGTAGTAGTAGTGGTAGTGTAGTAGTAGTGTACTTGTAGTAGTAGTGTGGTAGTAGTAGTTGTGATAGTAGTAGTGGTGTGGTAGTAGTAGCAGTAGTAGTGGTAGTAGTAGTAGTTGTGATAGTAGTAGTAGTGTAGTAGCGGTGTGGTAGTAGTAGTAGTAGTAGTGTATTAGTAGTAGTGGTATATAGTAGTAGTAGTAGTAGTAGTTGTGATAGTAGTAGTGGTAATAGTGTAGTAGTAGTGTGGTAGTAGAGGTAGTAACGGTAGAGACAATAATAATGACACTATTACAGTAAAACATCCAAAATATTTTTTTAGTTCAGATCTTGAAACAGATAAAATCCTTATAAAATTTTAAGTTCTGAATATAAATGGTATAAAATACCAACACAATGGAAACATAAACACATATGCAGTTTAATGTGATCCTTTATTGACAACGTTTCGCCCACATAGTGGGCTTCTTCATCGCTATCCCACATAAGAACATAGAACACTGCAGAAGGTCTACTCACAACTTGTCCAATACCCCTGCCAAGCTACCCAAGACTCTATAACCCCACCCGGTAGATCATCAGATGCAGCATTCTCCACCTGACCTCAACATTCTGAACCTGACTATAAATACTCCCGTACCTTCCACCCCAGGTAGATCTGTTTGTGACTTGAAAAAGCCCACTGTGTGGGCGAAACGTTGTCAATAAAGGATCACATTAAACTGTATATGTGTTTATGTTTCCACTTTAAGTTCTAACATGTGCAAAAAAAAAAAAAACGATATTTTATTTGGACAGTGTTCTTGGACTCGTAAGATGGATATATGCATAATCTAACTCACAGCACAACATTCTGTTTATTATGCACGTTACGTGAAATTTATGTGCACCAACAAAATACTTCATCTAGATATAAACTTTAGTCTGACAGTGTGTTGACACTGTGCATCCACAGTCAAACTGCAAATATGAGACTATGTACAAAGCTTCAGTTTCCTTGTTCAACTTCTGCAAATCTCATCGAGTACACATTAATTTTAGTTGATTTCAACTGTTTTCTACTGTCCTAGCTAAACAATACATGGAGTCACTGGTAAGCAACGATTTCGCTTCAAAAACAGGATCCGTGGTTCGATCCCCTAGAGGAGTGGAAACATTGGAAGTGTTTCCTTACACCTGTTATGCCGTTCACCTAGTAAGCAAGTAGGTAACTGGGTGTTAGTCGACTGGTGTGGGTCACATCGGAGGGGATAAGATTTAAGGACCCCTATGAAAATAAGACAATCCTTGATGACGCACTGACTTTCTTGGGTTATCCTGGTTGGCTAACCCTCCGGGGTTAAAAATCCTAACAAAATCATATCTCTACCATCACATGGTTGCGTTATATGGACAATATTCTCGTGAGTACACTTAAGTATTCTGTCCAGGTATAGGCACTTTAATTCTGACAACTTTAAACTCAGCTAAATTTAATAGAACTATCCATCCAATTCATGAGTGAAGAAGAAAAGAAAATTCCTTTCCTTTCCTGGAAGTCAAACTCATCAAACAAGATTACCAACCGAAATTCAAAGAATACCCTATTTCCACTGAAAACATTAATTATCTCATCTCGACGAGAAAAGCAAACGTGGAGTTTTCGTTAACTTGTAAGCCTCCAGAATTTGTAACCTTGAATTCCTTAAAACAAAAGTCTGCCCTATGCGTGGCACTTTCTCCACACATTTCCCTCCGCACTTCATTTGATATACAGAAAACGGGATCAGAGACAATTTACCACTTCTAAAGATAACGACCTTCTTCCTTACCCATCTTATCAAAGACTCTGGCCATAAGAAGAAGAAGAAGAAGAAGAAGAAGATAACGATGATTTGGACAGAAGTCTCATTTTTTTCCCCACAGGTAAAACCATCAACATAGACACACAAGCACTGAAGAAAAGTGACATCAAAGTTGCAGTTCCTGCATCCAAAACCATACGGAATATTACAGGCCAGGATATACCGAGTGCAGAAACGTAACATGTGCTGGATGTGACAAACACTACATAGGAGGAACTTCATGCGACACAATTACCAGGATAGTAATACATCAGTATGCTTGCAGAAACAAATAGCATCAATAATGCAGGTGTCATACAAGTATTCACGAGTTTCAAAACTCGTCTTCAAAGAGGATAACAGAATAAAATGTCTAGAGGCAGCGATCATCAGTAAAACACAGCATCATAAAAGAAAATCTAGGTGCCTTTAGTATTACAAAACTATTATTCGCTACAAAACTATTAACTGTTACATCCATGTTGGCTTTTCGGAGAATCAGGGGAGGGTGATGACAGTCTTCCCAGTGAGGACCAGTCGTCTATCCATATTAGAATCTTCTGTGGGTGTGTTGTGAATAAGGAAGGCTTCTTGTACGTCAGTACATGTAAGAGGCATAGTAGCTGTACATTAAATAATCCATGAAGCAGAAGAGCTACAAATCAACGAAAAATAAATATACGTATAACTTCATACAGTATTTGATATTTTAAATATACATTGTAAAAGACTGATTATATCAAATTTCCGTAGCAGTGACAGCATCGCCAGTGGTACTAGCAGCAGTAACAACAAGGGCAACAAGAGGGCCCGCCGTCCCGAGGTCAAGGAGAAGAAGGTGTTAGTATCACAACTGACGATGAGGAGTGCAACTGAGGGAGACGCTGGCGTCTACAAGTGTGTGGCCAAGTCAGTGGCAGGCGAAGCTTCTGCCCAGGCCATGATCCGTGTCGTCCCACGTAAGTCCGCATCTTATTCTTTTCTCTCTTTATTGTTTGGCTCGTACATGTCATGTGACTTATTCGTAAGGATGTTTTTCATTTGAGAATTTCTCTCTATAGCGCTGCATGCTAAAGTCATTCGCATAACTCTTCCAGAAAGTCTTAGATAAATAGCAGTTTTGTTCAAGGAAGGATTATGATTAAAAAGAATTTTTTTCCATAGTGTAGTATGAGAAACAATTTTTCTTCAAAGTGAAACATGAAAAAAAAAAATATTTTTCATAGCCATCTAGGCTAAATACCAAACTTTTTATTTTATGGAAAACTATGATAAATATCAAGTTTGCTCCTGGTAAAGTATGACACAACAAAAATTTATTCGTGGTGAACTATGGTAAAAGCCAGGTTTCATTAGTTATAAATGAATAGAACTAACAACTGTTGGTATGGGTATTAGAACATAGTTTGGCCGTGACAAATCATGCCATGACCGCTTGCCACAAATTAGGCTACAGAATGCAACGCCACTCGGTGTATATATTTAATCACAACTGGAAAATAACAAAACCACGATATTTCACTTTCTTCATTTAGACCTAATAAATTAGCCTAAATGTGAATATAAAAAAATTACTCCATGTGAATTTAATTTATTGTCTGGCTAGAAATATTTTTATGTTACTTAGAGCAGGTTCTCATTGCCAAAATAATATTCGAATATGAAACAAAAGAATTAAAATAGAACATTAAACACTGTTATAACTGATATAACGCAATGAACTGAAGAGAACTTAGTCAAAAAACCTCATGAAAGCAGCGCTGGTGGATGTTAAACACACTAACGAGAACGTCAGGCAGAAGAACATCAAGTGAACAGCAGAACGTAAAAAAAACTCTGGCAGAAAATTTTCTGCAAAAGTTTAAGCATTTAGATAAGATAACTAGAACAAATAATAATATTAATATTATTATTATTTTATGAGGAGGCGTTACATATGGCAGAACATACATGGTGCAAAGCAACGATGTCCTTTTTCATAGTTGACAACAGATTTTTAACTGTTTTATTAAGAGAAACAACTTGGAATATATTTTTTTTTTATTTTTTTTTTATTCGCCGGTATTCTCCCGGCCCGGGTCTTTTCCAAGTAGTGGTGACCCGGCCTTGGCTCCCTATCTGGGGAGTATCTCGAGACCTAAGTCTCCCATGGGAGGAGGTACAAGTACCCCCTCATCTTTGGGACCAAGTGTCCCCAGGCCTAGCCACAGTCCCCGCCCTCACGAGGCTCGTAGGGAGAAGCTAGGCCTCTGGTCTGCCATCTGCCCCGCCCCAAAGGGGCTCGTGGGGATGGCAGTCTTGTGAGCTGCAGGTGGTAGCAAGCTCAAACCTTCTTTTTTTTGGAATATATATGTCGTGCCGAATATGTAAAACTGGTCAGTTAGCAAGAACTCATTTAAAATTAAGTCCTTTCCAAAATTTTCTCTTATGCGTTTAAAGATATATTTTTTTTCATTAATGTTAATGTAAAAATTTTTAATTTTGCACCAAAAGAATCTTAGAAAACTTACCTAACCTTATTACAACAAGAGCAATTTATTTTAGCCTAACCCAACTAAATATATTTTAAATACGTTTACAATAATTTGGTACTAAGCAAACACAATCAAACATATTTTTTTCGTTAGGTTCAGAATGATTTTGGCGAAATTATTGCATACACAAATTTTCACTTGTCCTATATGGCAAGATGAACGTTGCTATTTAAGCCAAGATCGCAAGTTCTGCCTATTCGGCACGACATATTATATATATATATATATATATAGAGAGAGAGAGAGAGAGAGAGAGGAGAGAGAGAGAGAGAGAGAAGAGAGAGAGAGAGAGAGAGAGAGAGAGAGAGAGAGAGAGAGAGAGAGGAGAGAGAGAGAGAGAGAGAGAGAGAGAGAGAGAGAGAGAGAGAGAGAGAGAGAGAGAGAGAGAGCACCTCAGTTAACACTCATGTAGGAGGAAGAAGGGGGAGGCCGAGAGGATATTTGCTTATGTTCTGCAAGAACAAATAGATCGAGACAAATAGACCGAGAAATGCTCCAGCAGAGAAATGTTATGAAGAACACGAAACATTTTTCTGAAGAGAGAATAAACAGTGTCAGTGTGAAATGCGCTTTCATTAACAGACAGCAGAATGGCTTCTTGATCTGTTTGACTTGGCACTGTTGTTGACCCCTCAACTACCCTTCATCCCTTCCGCTGTTAATCTCTGTTTCTCTGCCTGTCTGTCTGTCTGTCTGTCTGTCTCTGTCTCTGTCTGTCTGTCTCTGTCTGTCTGTCTCTCTCCTCTCTTCTCTCTCTCTCTCTCTCCCTCTCTCTCTCTCCTGTTGACCCCTCCCCCACCTGTCATCTCTTTTTCTCTCCCTCTTTTATTGATGTCTCTCACTTCCCTCCGGCCATTTTCGCTCCTGTTCCATCCTACCGTCCCTGTTGTTATCCCTCCTGTTCCCTTTCCACCCTTTCCTCATCCTGCTGTCGCGGCTCCTGTTTTCTCTGTTGACGTGGCTCTGGCCTCCCTGTTGCTCTGCGTGTACCCTGGCCGCAGCATCCCAGCCCTGATAACTTCATCTGTTGATTGTCGACCTGGCGTGTGAAAGCACCTGCGTCTTGTCATCGCTGTGGGAATGTACACTGTTCATCATCTTTCGTGAATATCTGTATAAGTGTGTGTGTGTGTGTGTGTGTGTGTGTGTGTGTGTGTGTGTGTGTGTACTCATCTATATGTACTCACCTATATGTGGTTGCAGGGGTCGAGTCTTAGCTCCTAGCCCCGCCTCTTCACTGGTCGATACTAATTCACTCTCTCACTGCTCCATGATATTTGTCATACCTCTTCTTAAAGCTATTTATGGAACTTGCTTCCACTACTTCACTCTCCAGATTATTCCAGTTCTTGACAACTCTAAGACTAAAGAAATACTTCCTAACATCTCTATGACTCATCTGGGTTTTCAGTTTCCAACTGTGTCCCCGTGTTTCTGTATCCCATCTCTGAAACATTCGATCCTTGTCCACGTTGTCAATGCCTCTTAGTATTTTATACGTTGTTATCATGTCCCCTCTATCCCTCCTATCCTAGTGTCATCAGGTTGAGTTCCCTTAACCTCTCCTCATAAGACATACCCCTAAGTTCCGGGACTAATCGTGTTGCAAATTTTTGCCTCCATTACATCGCTCCCCAAACTAATCCACTTACTGACTACTCTGTGGCTGAAGAAATACTTCCTAACATCCCTGTGATTCATCTGTGTCTTCAACTTCCAACTGTGTCCCCTTGTTACTGTGTCCAATCTCTGGAACATCCTGTCTTTGTCCACCTTGTCAATTCCTCTCATTATTTTGTATGTCGTTATCCTGTTCCCCCTATCTCTCCTGTCCTCCAGTGTCGTCAGGTTGATTTCCCTTAACCTCTCCTCGTAGGACATACCTCTTAGCTCTGGGACTAGTCTTGTTGCAAACCTTTGCACTTTCTCTAGTTTCTTTAAGTGCTTGGCTAGGTGTGGGTTCCAAACTGGTGCCGCATACTCCAATATGGGCCTAACGTACACGGTGTACAGGGTCCTGAACGATTCCTTATAAAGATGTCGGAATGCTGTTCTGAGGTTTGCTAGGCGCCCATATGCTGCAGCCGTTACTTGGTTGATGTGCTCTTCAGGAGATGTGTCTGGTGTTATACTCACCCCAAGATCTTTTTCCTTAAGTGAGGTCTGTAGTCTCTGACCCCCTAGACTGTACTCCGTCTGCGGTCTTCTTTGCCCTTCCCCAATCTTCATGACTTTGCACTTGATGGGATTGGAGTGTGTGTGTGTGTGTGTGTGTGTGTGTGTGTGTGTGTGTGTGTGTGTGTGTGTGTGTGTGTGTGTGTGTGTGTGTGTGTGTGTGTGTGTGTGTGTGTGTGTGTGTGTGAGTGAGTGTGTGAGTGTGTGTGAGTGTGTGAGTGTGTGTGTGTGTGTGAGTGTGTGTGAGTGTGAGTGTACTCACCTATTTGTACTCACCTATTTGTGGTTGCAGGGGTCGAGTCATAGCTCCTGGCCCCGCCTCTTCACTGATTGCTACTAGGTCCTCTCTCTCCCTGCTACATGAGCTTTATCATACCTCGCCTTAAAACTATGTATGGTTCCCGCCTCCACTTACTTCACTTTCTAGACTATTCCATGACTTGACCTACTCTATGACTGAAGAAATACTTCTAACATCCTTCGATTCATCTGTAGTCTTCAACTTCCAATTGTGACCTCTTGTGTCTGTGTCCCATCTCTGGAAACATCCTGTCTTTGTCCACCTTGTCTATTCCGCGCAGTATTTTATATTGTCGTTATCATGTCTCCCCTGACCCTGTGTGTGAGTGTGTTGTGAGTGTGTGAGTGTGTGTGTGTGTGTGTGTGTGAGTGTGTGAGTGTGTGTGAGTGTGAGTGTGTGTGTGTGTGTGAGTGTGTGTGAGTGTGAGTGTGTGTGAGTGTGTGTGAGTGTGTGTGTGTGTGTGTGTGAGTGTGTGTGTGTGTGTGTGAGTGTGTGTGAGTGTGTGTGTGTGTGTGAGTGTGTGAGTGTGTGTGTGTGTGTGAGTGTGTGAGTGTGTGTGTATGTGTGAGTGTGTGTGAGTGTGTGTGTGTGTGTGTGTGAGGTGTGTGTGTGTGTGTGTGTGTGTGTGTGTGAGTGTGTGTGAGTGTGTTGTGTGTGTGTTGTGGTGTGTGTGTGTGGTGTGTGTGAGTGTGAGTGGTGTGTGAGTGTGTGTGAGTGTGTGTGTGGGTGTGAGTGTAGTGTGTGTGTGTGTGTGAGTGTGTGTGTGTGTGTGTGGTGTGTGTGTGTGTGTGGTGTGTGTGTGTGTGTGTGAGTGTGTGAGTGTGTGTGAGTGTGTTGTGTGTGGTGTGAGTGTGTGTGTGTGTGTGTGTGTGTGTGTGTGTGTGAGGTGTCGTGAGTGTGAGTGTGTGTGTGTGTGAGTGTGTGTTGTGAGTGTGTGTGGTGTGTGTGT